CGAATTCGGTGTACTTCACTCGAAGGATGATCTTAAAGCAGTAGTGGTCAATGACTTCCAGCTTCCGTTCATCTTCCAAATGCATAGTCCAACATTTGTATCTGTATAGAAAAACGTACCATACAGATGCACGGTACACGCGGATCTTTGTGGAGATAGAAATATCGCGTCAGGTCCATAAGCACTTTCGACGGCTAGATAAAAAGCGCCGTGCTGCGTCAATTCGTGAGACAATGTCATCTTTACTCTGTCCATTCGGCAGCAATCTCACACCGACGTATTTGAAACTGTCTACTTCTTCAAGTTAACAGCCACTAATCCCGAGAGGTGCCCTCTCTTGAGCAGGGATGCAGTATGAAAACACTTTGGTCTTCCCAGCGTTTATGGACAAACCGAATGATTTCGCGACCTCGTCCACCCGTGACACCATGGACTGTAGATGGCCAAAGCTTGAAGCTAGTAAAGCGATATCCTCGGCATAGTCGAGGTCAGTCAACCGTCCCTCGGGTGCAAGCTCCATAATGTCATTTTCCTGTAGGGCCTTCCCGAGAACCCAGTCAATGGCGTAGTTAAAGAGGAAGGGCGACGGGGCACGGTCTTGTCGAACGCCAGACCGAATAGCGAAGTGTTCTGAGAGATTTTTATAGACTAGATTTCCCGCAGTGATGGAGCGGTAGTTTGTCTTGCTCATGGCGATTATTTTGGTGGTATACCTTCAAATGCCTTTATCCATCATAGGGAGGCACGATGGATGCTTACGCTTATCATCGCATTTGAAGTCATGGGGGACCCTACGCACTACGTGTATATGGTCAATTTTGTTAATATTACTGATTCTGTTGCAAGAACCAGTATGCGCAGACAAGGAGGGGGGAAGACAGTAGCAATTAAACGCATTTACATCAACTGCTTACAAACTCGTGGTAGTGTGAAGTACAAGAAGCATATGTATCCCCACTATGTGTACCATCGATACCTATCTACTATATTTACTTAAGTAGGCACTTTTGATGTGGGTTTGACTGTGACTTGGAATGACTGGCTGATGACGGTAAATAAGCCAGAAATGGCCATTCCGGTCTTCCTTGCCTTTTCTCGGTGCCAC